TTGGGAGCCCCTGGCCGGAAGGGGAAATGGCTGAAGCAGGAAGCCTCAGCACCCAATGTCCGTCGAAGGAGGCCGAGAAAGAGGTTCTGCCAGAGAGGAGCCCTGGAGAGTTGGTGTCAGGGGAGGAGGAACTGACAGTGGTGCCCAGGGCTGCCCAGACGTCGAGCAGGAGGTGACCGGGCCTCCAGCTGGTCACCAGCAGCCTTGGAAATGGCAGGTCTCAACCGAGGACACAGAGGCGGAAGCCGGGTGCGGCGGTCAGCACGACCGGGGAGGGTCGTCAGAGAGAGTCTCTGCGCGCACGGGGCGGAAGCCGGGTGCGGCGGTCAGCACGACCGGGGAGGGTCGTCAGAGAGAGTCTCTGCGCGCACGGGGCGGAAGCCGGGTGCGGCGGTCAGCACGACCGGGGAGGGTCGTCAGAGAGAGTCTCTGCGCGCACGGGGCGGAAGCCGGGTTGCGGCGGTCAGCACGACCGGGGAGGGTCGTCAGAGAGAGTCTGCGCGCACAGGGCAGAAGGGTGCACAGGCCCGTCCTGGGCGCGCCAGGGTCTGGCAGGGCGGAGTTGTGATCACTCCCGGAGGCAGACGGACTGCGTCTGAACCCCTGCTGTGCGGATGGCTCCGCTTCCCTCGTTTTCCTCATCTGCAAAATGGGACTGTGAGGATTAAACGGGTTAGTAGACAGGATGCTCTTTACCGCTGACCCAGTGGTAAAGAGTCCTCCTGCCAATGCAGGAGACCTGGGTTCGATCCTTGGGTCAGGAGGATCCCCTGGAGAAAGGAAATGGCAACCCACTGCAGTATTCTTGCCTGGAGAATCCCAGGGACAGAGGGGCCTGGCGGGCCACAGTCCACGGGGCTGCAAAGAGTCAGAGACAGGGACTAAACAGCAGCAGCAGGATGCTCGACCTGCTGGCCCATTGTGCAGATGTAAGGGTCAAAGGTGGCGGGGGGAGCAGGATGCCCCCCAGATCCTGCTGAGAGGTGGACCTGACTCCCTTCAGGGGACCAGACTCATTCTTTCTGCTCCTCCTTCAGTGCGAATGATTTGAGAACCAGGAGAAACAGAAATTGGGCATTAGGCCAGGTTTTAATGAGGTCTTATTTGGGAGCTATCTGAGAGTCTTATTTTTACACACTAATTAAAGGGTGTCATTTATCATCTCTCCAAGAGAAAATTCAAAATCTGTGGAGAAGGTAAATGTATAACTCGCTTTTTCTGGTTGCTTCAGTTCTTGAATCAACTTCTTTTTAATTGAAGAAGGGAAATATATTTATGAAAGTATACTCAAGGGCACAGCTGAAAAATAAAGATCTCAAAGTCATCACGCCGGTAGAGAAGGGGCCACTGTCATCCCCCAGGAGCCACTCAGGCCTTTTCCAGGCCCTGGAAGTTGCTTCCTTATATTTGAAGTTTCTACAGTGAGATTATGGATAAAGTTAAAGGGTATTTATCACCCAAATAAAACTTCAAAATTGTGGAGGGAGTGACACTTGCTTATTCACTCATTTGTTTATATTTGACCGTGTTTAATATTTTTTCCGTTTGGATTTTATTGAGCTAAAACTGACACACCATGTAAGATGCACAGTGCAGTGATTCAACTTGCATCATGAAGTGATATCACAGTTAAGTTTAGTGAACATCCACCGTCTCATATAGATAAAAAAGAAAGGAAAGCATATCTTCCTTTGATGAGAGCTCCTAGAATTTACTCTCTTAATAACTTTCATCTGTAACAGGAGCAGTGTTAATTATGCTTCTCATGTTGTACCTTAGTCCCTAGGAAGTGACTTAAGGCAGCACCAAGTACTATTGAAATACCAGGTTAATGAAACTGGTTAGTGTCTGGCGGCGTGCTGCCGTTCACACAGTCGCAGAGAGTCAGACACGACTCAGCGACTGAACACCACCACCACCTGGGAAACGAGCAAACGTTTTCCGGGTCTGCCCCCAACAGCGTTTTGGACTTGGGCTGAGCTCCTGTGACCGCTTTATACAAGCGCGTGCCACCCAAACGGGTAACATCACAGCTTGATGATAAAGGCTCCAGAGCCTCTTAAGCGAGCTCGAGTGTTGTGTTTCTGTTTTATTCATTCATCGCATGTATTTGTATAAAATGTGTAACATTCACCTGTGGAGTGATTAAATGAAGACAAAATCTCTGATCATAAAGATCGCCCAGCCAGTGTAACTGGGGGGTAAGTAAGATTCATGTTTTAAGCCGACTGACCATAAATGTACTGGATGTCAAGCGCAGTTGAAGACTATAGTTACAGGAGAACAGATACCAGGAGCAGCTGATGACTGTCGTTGCAGGAGAACTGAGCCTCCCTGCTCTGGGACCCCATTTCCCTTGAGCTGTCACTGGGGTCGGGGGGGTCTCATCCATGCGTGTGGCCCGGTCTATCTCTGTGCCCACCGTGGGCAGGAGGCTTTTCACTGTGGAAAAGAAGGTGGCTCAGCCTTACAAACCAGTCACTGTGTCTTCCCTTCCTTCTTGAGTCAGATACTTCCATTGTCCCCCTGTGAAGAGTCCCCCACTTTTATGGGTTACCCTGTATTTCTGAAGCAGTCTATGTATTTTAGCACAAAATATTTAGAACTCATTTCCTCACTTCCATTTGTGGGTAGACATAAAAATAATGGTGAAATAAAACAAATAGGCTTAAAAGTTCTAGTTAGGCTTAAAGAATGCTATGAGTTATTAGAGGCTGTGACTTCATATTTTGTTATAAATGTGGCAAAGCAGTAATTCCATGGACAGAAGAACCTTAGTACTTCATATGTCATTGATGCTTTTCACGGCCCTTTCTGTCCCCTTGTAGGAGTCTTAATGGGTAAAGGTTCTCTCTGCCCATGGACTTGCTCTTTCTAGCCTCCCTGTGGGGAGGAGAGAAAGTTCTTTTCCATTTGGAGTGTCATAAAATGAGGATTTTAATAATGTATTTGACTTGTTTTGGAAAGTTTCTCAATTCCCCCTTAGAGTATAAAACACTTACCAAGATTGTCTATAGAAAAAAAGAAAAGTGAAGTCGCTCACTCGTGTCCGACTCTTTGCCACCCCATGGACTGTAGCCTACCAGGCTCCTCTGTCCATGTGATTTTCCAGGCAAGAATACTGGAGTGGGTTGCCATTTCTTTCTCCAGGGGATCTTCCCAACCCATGGATCGAACCCGGGTCTGCCGCACTGTAAGCAGATGCTTTACCATCTGAGCCACCAGGGAAGTCAAGAATGTCTATAGAGTTGTCCAAATAGTTTTGTCCTGTTTAATTCTCATGTTTATGCTTTTTCTGTGAGATTTAAGATGAAATCCTGTATGGTCATCCATCTGAATAGTAGCTCTGAGGTCAGGAGGAGAATAAAAATGCATTAGAGTTGGTCATCAAAAAAGTTCTTTATTTTTGTTTTTTAATGGAAGTAAATTGGCAGTCACCCTGACGATCGTGATTGTAAGTTATTTAACTTTTGGTCTTGGAATTTCAGCTCACCTATACAACACATGTTTTGCAGGTGTTGGAATCTGTTCCTGGGTTTTAGTTTCGAGTTCACATAATGATTTTTGAAATATTCTAATGTGCATCTTCAAAGACCCCAGATCAATACGCCAATGGCTTTGAAATGACAGAGTGTTGCGATATTCCTCTGTAATTTAAACATGATTAGCTGATGAAGGTTATGATCAATACACTATGGAAAGATAAATTAATTGATATCATCCTTTCAGGATGATAAGAGGCCTATTGGAGGTGGGATGTAACTAATGAGGCTGCTGTTTCATCTCTGTGAGCCATTTTTTATATATTGCATTTTCACTTAATCATATTTATACTATCATTCATTTACATGAAAGCCATAAGCTGTGGACAAATCAGCTCCTTATTAACACTGTATTCATTTGGACAAGAAATGATCCGCGGCCACCGTGCGTGCTCCTTCTGTGTCATAACCCACTGCTGGGGACAGTGTGTGTTCCTTTGCATGGATGTCTTTAAAAATAGCCACTCCCTGGGCAAAGACAAGGATTGAATATCATTGAACTTAATTACAGCTTGTCCCCAAAGACACACATCTATTCAAATAAAAGCTGCGGTTATTCTCCTGGAGTGACACCTATTGGTGTAGGAAGAGTTTTCTAATCCTTGACTTCCTTTCCAATTAAATCCAGTATGCTTTATCAGCCAGCCTATTTGCCAGGAGAAGTTATGACTGGTGGAATTTAGATTTGTATTGATTAAGATAAACTCTCAATGTGTATAGCCGTATATTTAAATTTTAAAAAAGTCTTTTGAGATAATTACATGTCCTTGAATATAATTCTATGCAGTTGCTTGTAGAGTTGAGAGTAATTCTTTAGGCTATGTGGAAAAAAAGAATAGATGAATAAAATAGATTTTTTTATTTCCAAAAGGATTTGGTTTAAATTCCCTTGTCTTATTTAGGATGATTTTTGCTGCAAGTAATTGGGGGAAAAAAATCATTAGAATGATTTAAACAAGATAGACGTGTATTTTTTGTGGTTTACCTATGAAGCTTCTGAGACAGTCCGCACAGGGGTGTCAAACCAGAGACTCAGTTCCTAGAAGGGGCTCATGTCCCACCAAGTGTGGCTTCCACCCCCCAAGGTCACTGCCAGGGCTACAGCCAACATATGTGCCTTTTATGCAGCCAGAAGGAAAATGCCATGAGGGAGAAATGGGCCAAGGCATCTCTCTTGAGGGTGCTTCTGGGATGCTGCCACATGACCCTCCTGCCGACATCCTATTGGCCAGAACGTGCTCTAGTGGGCACGTTTAGCTGGGGGGCAGGGTATGGACCAGGGAAGCCCCAGGGAATGTCATTTCTCTCCTGGTCATCCTGTGCCCCACTGAAAGTCAGGAATTCCGTTATCGTGGAGCAAGGGGACGGTGGGTGACTGAGATGGTCCTGGGCCCCCGCCACGTGCCCCGGGTTTGGAGAACAGCCTCACAGAGACCTCCTCTGTCTCCTTGCCCGCAGTTGCCCAGAAGATTGTCGCCACGAGGAAGAAGCAGCAGCTGTCCATAGGTCCCTGCAAGTCCCTCCCTAACTCACCCAGCCACTCGTCCGTCTGCTCCGCCCAGGTGTCCGCCGTGCACATCAGCCAGGTACGTTGGTCCCCCGAGAGGCTGGGCGGGAAGGCGGGCGCAAGCCCAGGAGGACATGCCTGCCAAAGAGGGTGCTCAGCCAGCTCCAAAGTGGATTTCTCTTTCAACATGCAAATAACAGCGTGGCCGTAACTGATGTAACATCTCCTTCGGAAACTGCTGTGGCCCAGTGTTTTTATGGGAATCAGTCTTTAATGCTCCCGTCTCCACGCTGTCTCTGCTGTTGATTTAAATGACCCCGAGTTGGTCCTCATTCTCATCTGCTTGTAGGCTGAGCAGCTGTGGTTAAATCTCATTGGCTCATCCCCCAATATGCTTCAATATGGTAGCAGTTCCGGGTTAGAGTCCCCTTTTCCCTTATGCCCTGTGGAAACTAGGAACTTTTTTTTTAAAGTCTTTATTGACTGTTACAATAGTGCTTCCCCTGTTTTACATTTTGTGGGGTCTTTTTGGCCATGTGTGTGACATGTTGGAATTTAGCTTCTTAAAGAAGGATCGAACCTGCACCCCTGTGCTGGAAGGTGAAGTCTTAACCTCTGGACCTCCAGAGAAGTCCCACTAGCGTCTTTCTATTGCAACATTTTACTATTTATTTGGAAGCAAATAATAAAAGTCACTTTGAAGAGCCTAACCAAAATCCCAGAGGGGAACTGTTGGCTTGTTTTTGCCTGCTCTCCTCTCTTCGGTTCACATTTCTCAGACAGGTGTTATGTTGACACTTTTTAAACAGATTTAGTGAGAAGGTTAGGCATCCTGTGTTTGGTTGCTTGAGGAGAAGGGAAATGCGTTTACAGTGGGGCCCTGCAAAGGTACCGTGAAGGTACCGTTCAGGCTGTTAGCGTCCCCACCACTGGCATCTGTAACTCTCCCTGAATCTTGAAATGTCTTCCAGATGTATCCACGTGTCCAAGAGGCCATTTTCTTTTTTAAAACTTATTTTTTTTAATATAATTGATTACAGTGTTGCGTTAGTTTCTGCTGTGTAGCAGAGTGTCATTTACACATGTATTAATACACATGTCCCTTCTCTCTCAGATTCTTTTTCCATATCAGCCCTGACAGAGCATTGAGTAGAATTCCTTGTGCTCTGCAGGTCCTTATTAGTCATCTTTTTTATATGTAGTGGTGTGTATATGTCAATCACAGTCCCCCAATTTATCCTGCTAAGAGGTCATTTTCAAAATGTGGATTCTGGTCCTCTGGGGCACAATTGTGCTCTTTCTGCCTCTAATCTAGCACAGTGAAGGGACCACGGAAGCCACTTAGTTCAGCCAGTCCCTTCCTCTTTCAGAGGAAATAGAAAATAATTACATTTTCACTCTCAAGAAAAATTAAACGAAAGAGACTTCCCTGCCTTTAGTCCCTTTTCTTAACTGAAATGACGCTGAGCAGATCGCTCTCTTCTAGAAGGAAACCAAGCGTCCTTCATGCTGATTCCACCAGCCAGTGGGAGAGGCCGGCCCACCCGTCGGCTGCACCCGCTGTGTGCGATTTGCTGGCCCGTGGGTTACGGTCCACGCAGGCGGTGAGTGAGGCTCCCAGAGCGTGTCCCTAACACAGCCTTGGCCTCTGACCGTTGCAGACGAGTAACGGGGGCGGGAGCCTGAGCGACTATTCCTCCTCCGTGCCGTCCACGCCGAGCACCAGCCAGAAGGAGCTCCGCATCGACGTGCCGCCCGCGGCCAACACGCCCACGCCTGTCCGAAAGCAGTCCAAGCGCCGGTCCAACCTCTTCACTGTGAGTGTCCCCGGGGCTCAGAGCGTGGGTCCCGAGACGGTCACTGAGTGGTCCTCTGGCCGCTGGGTGGTCAGGGACGGGTGTAGTGTCCGATCCCAATGAACAGGAAGGGCAGTGAGTTCTGTGGACTCTCAGAATGTTGCAGGATGCCGAGATGCAGGTGCTGAGCAAGCTGGGACTTACTCAGTTGCAGGGAGTCCTGATGGGTCAGAAACGAAGAGCCAGAGGTTTGGATAAAGGTGTTCCTGGTCCTGCTACTCCCTTGGTCTCCAGCTAATGACTTGTCCTGTTAGATACATGCAGGTGACAGACTCTGCCAGGGTTCCCCACATGTGCTCATCCAACCTTCGAGATGAGATGTGTAAACCCTATAGATAGACAAACGCCCTGCTCCTTAGGCTGGAGTGCTGAGGACTTCCTCGGAGTCTGTAGAAGCTCACGGACATGAGCCTGTCCACTTGGACTTTTCTTCAGAACCGATTGCAGAGCGCTGGTGTACATCAGCTCTCGGGGCTCAGGTTTTTGAGCTCAGAATCTGTGCAGGGGACCCAGGCGTGTGTAGTTTTTTAAAAGCTCCCTGAGCAGTCGGGATGTCCCCTTAACAACAAGAGGACACAAAAGTGCGGCCACCCTGTCCTTTCCCTTGCACACAGCAGACATTGCCAATCAATGGTGGAGAAGGTTTTGCAGTTGAGCCCAGAACTCCAGACACAGCACCCCAGGCAGAGCTACTGCCATGTGGCTGGAGTCATTTGACTTGAGAACACTTTCCGTCCTAGGACTGGGTCTGTGCATTATAAGTACAGGCTTTCAAACCAGGGGTTCTCATCCAGGTGCTTTTGCTCTGCCAGAAATTCGGCAGTTTCTGGAGAAGGTCTGCGTTGCCTCAGCTGGTGGGTGGGGCTGGGCGTGGTCCTGCGGGGCTCTAGTGTGGGTACCAGCCATGGAGGCGTTCCACATCCCACAGCGCACAGGCCAGCCTCACAACGAGGATGTCTCCAGCGTCCCAGTGCCTTGTCTTAGAAACGGAAATTTGACTTCTCTTAGAAAGTTGCTCAACTCTAGCGTCCAGCATCAGGGTGCCCTGTTTCCAGCCGTATGATTTCTCCTCTTGGTTGGTCCCTGGTTTGGGAAGATTCCCCTGGAGAAGGGAATCACAACCCACTCCAGTATTCTTGCCTGGAGAATCCCATGGACAGAGGAGCCTGGCGGGCTACCATCCGTGGGGTCTTGAAGAGTCGGACATGACTGAGTGAGTGACTGACACTTTTTCTTGATTGATTATTACTGACTTCGGTGCAAAGAAGTTCAGTATTTCCTGGCTCAAGCTAAAGGAGGCTTCTACAGGGGTGGCCATGAGTCTGTTATCTGATCCACTGCCCTGATTTGGAGATGGCAGGGTTTTTTTTGTTTGTTTGTTTGGCACAGCACATGGGATCTTAGTTCCCCGGCCAGGGATCGAACCCACTCCCCCTGTATTGAAAGTAGAGAATTGTAATTACTGGACTGCTACAGAAGTCCCTGGAGATGGCGTTCTCCACAGTGAAGGAGGGTGCCAGGTACAGCAGATTCTCTGGCCCTCTCCCACCATGTCCACGGCAGTTGTCCAATCAGATGGTCTTTATTGCCAAGGTCTGTTGGCAACAGCGCACACTCCCTCCTCACAACTATTCCCTTCCTCGGGTCCTTGCCCCGTGCCGTGTGAGCTCTGGCAGGCGCTGCTGTTGGAGGGCCAGAGGATCAGACAGGCTCAGCCTCTGACCTCTGCTGCCTGGGGCTGTGTGACCTTGGGCAAGGAACTCAACCTCTCTGAACTGGAAACAGCAGTAGTTGCAGTGAGGTTGCTGGAAAGATTCCCTGTAGGGACGAAGAGTCCTTTGCTTTCATTTTTATCTCACCATCCCGCTGTTACGGAGTAACTTATATTAGTGCATTAGCAGAAGTAGCAGTTAATCGGGAGGGAGGTGCTTAGGTGTGTGCAAAATACAGGTACATACCTGATATCCTTAAAGACGTCCACTACAAGATGCTGTACTGTGGAATTTCTTCAGCACACTGAGACTAGCAGTAGTCACCTAAACAGCACTGGTGGCTTATCCATCCGCCTGGCACACGTGTGCACACCCAGGTGGGGGCTTCCAGGTGAGGCGGAGTCACCTCGGAGAACAGGCTGTGGATCGACCCAGGGCTCCATGGACCTGAGGAGGAGCCCGCAGAGAGGGCAGGTGGGCCGTGAGTGGGACACCCAGCGTAGCGGGGAGGGGGGGCCCTGGAATGTGGACCAGAGCATCTTCTGTGTGTTTGCCACTTCTTCTAGGGCATGGCGGGAGAAAGGGACACCCAGGCTCATGACAGCTTCTCAGGGTCACCTTTCTTGGTCATTGGCTTTGGTCTGTCTTCAAGGCAAGAGGAGAGAAGCTGGGAAGTCTCTTTGAAATGGGGCTGCTCAGGCACGTGCCATCCCACACCTATATGGGCACCTCTGGGGTCTGAAGGTGCTGGAGAGTAGTGTCCTGGGTACCTGCCAAAGGAGACATGTTTAAGGCAGGAAGAAGCAGATGAACAGCAACTCGGGTGATAAGCCTGCCCTTCCCCGCTGCTGTCTGCACAGCCGGATTTGTTTTCCATCAGGCGTGGGTGTTTTCACAGTCAGCCCAGGTTCAAGAGGAGGTCGACTGGGATGAGGGTTCTGCCTGCCCAGAGGAGAGCAGAGCGATGGGACCCCCGCCTCCGCACAGTTAGAGCCATGCACACATGTATACACCGAGTCCAGGCACCCAGACCGCAGCCAGCTGTCCAGGCCGGGTGGGGGAGTGCCAGAACCAGGGCAGCCCCATCCTTATGGTGACTGGAAATTCCCATGGATCATGTCATAATTAATGCAGCTGGTGGTGGATGCGAGGGCCTGCCTGTGAACCAGGGCAGGATCGAGGCTTGATCTCTACATGTTGGAAAGTGGTCTGAGAGTAAATCCTTTCAGAAGCTGAATCCATTGCACTGTTGTTACTATTGGGAACATGACCCTGAATCGGGGTCATGAAGAAGCTACCTTCACAGCGGTTTTGCATCATGGCATTAAAGGAAAAGACTGGAAACCTCTATCTTCATCACTGCCAGTTTTGACACTGAACAAAGCGACGGCGCTGATGGTGATGGTGACGGGTGGGTGTTGCACGCTGAAGATCTCAGAAGTGATAACTCCACTAGATGTCAGTGTCACCCAGGGAATGACAAGAGGCAAATTGATCTTGAAATCATGGCCAATTAAGAAACTAGATTCTCCTTGTTACCGGTTTGCTCCTATTCTTAAATATGTAAAATGTCATAACCTCCTCATCCCTGGCAATTGTTAGTAATCACTGACTTCAATTAGCGAAAAGCATATTTATTGAAAAATGTGTACTAGGAGGATGGAAGTGCCCTACATCAACCAATCTTAGTGAATAAAAACCCACCCAGGCTGGGACGGTAATGCCCAGATGAAGGAGCTTCGGCTTCCTCATTTATGAAGATCCTCCTAAAGAGGCCAGTGTTAATTAAGTAGTACACAGACCAGTCTGCAAACACCGTGCTTATAAATTTTATAAAGTGACTGCAGTGTGCCGCCCTGGGCTAACGTTCTTCAGGCCCAGATGTTTCTGTTTGTATATACACACATGCAAAAATAAGCAAAAGTCTGAGCAAAAAATAAATCAAACACACACCTTTTACAAAAGACTACAAACTTGCAGATCTCTCTCATAGTAGTTTTGTGTTCTGTAGGCAGTAGGAACCATCAGTCACTAATAAAAAAGCTGAATTGATATCATATCTTGCTTATTTCTTTGAAAAAAAATTATTTTGAAAAAAGAAATATTTAAAGGCTATATCCATCGAATTCCCGGTCCTGTAATATATACTCTTAGGATGAGTAGTTTTATAGCCATGATTTATTAACATGTGGTTCAAATGTTTTATTAGGATGTATTTTCAAACATATAGGAATTTAAAAACACATGCATATACTCACCCTGCAGCTCATAGACTGCGAGCATTTTTCTGCCACTGCTGCTGCTACTACTTCTAGAAATAAGCCCGTCATAGATAAAGAGTGCAGAATATCCATCCCCCCTCCCCACCCCCACCCCCCATCAGGGGATTGGCATTCCTTTGGATGCAGTGTCTGTTATCTGCGTCCACATCTTAAACTCACTCCTCTACGTGTCCACAAATTGTCTGGTGCCTTGCTCTGCCTGCCTTCAAGCTTTATGATCCCGATGTCACTTACGTGGTTATTTCTCAAAGCTTGCCATATAATGCCGACACCTCAGAACAGAGTCAAGTGTACCCAGCAACCAAAGATTGTGAAAAGCCATTGCCCAGCTCACAGAGACTCTGTAAAAAAATAAGGCAGTAGAATTGGTAGTATAAATAGAGCTGTTTGAATGGTATTTTGTCTTCTGTAGGGAAGGGAGCGTGGATCCCATGACAGTGTGTTCCTGCAGTCTTGGACTTCCTCACCGGTTGGAGAGGGGAAGGCGGGTCTCTGTGTGATAGTGAGGGTGCTTGGCTGTGATGCCCCTTGTTCTCGGGAGCAGGCCGCTGGTGGCGTGCCCCTCACAGCTTCCTTTATCACCTGAGGGGCAGCTGAACGTGTCTCTGACGAAGGAGATGGTAATTAGGTTTATCCTAGCCTTTCTTTCTGCTGCGTTCACTGTTTGCAGAGGCTTTGCGGTCACTCCTCCGGCTCCCCGTGACTTTCTCTGATGGGTGTGATACCCTCCTGTTAGAACGGGTTCTGGCTGTGTGTCAGGTGGGTGCCTTGCACACTCACTCCTGACCCCCCGGCAGCGGTACCCAGGGCAGCTTTGGATCTGATGCTTTCAAGGAGCCATTTGAGTGGCAATGTGAGGCTGTGCTGTGGGTGATGCAGTCTCAGGGCTGGCAGAAATATCAGGAGACCTTACTGGGAATCTATACATGCTGTGGTGTCTTATGTCCAATGGGTTTGTTTTAGTTTAGCTGTTGGATTTCCGGTTTATGATATATATCACAGACTGCTGTGCTGAAAGTCACTATAGGATGGAGAGACAGTAAATCCTTTTGCCTAACAAATTACCACCACTCTGTCCATGAAGTTTTAGTTTCACGGTTCTCTCCACCCAAGTGTGAGAGTCACTGGGAATTTCTGTTGCATTTTGGTGGGGAAGTTTTCCCTCAGTTTCCACCTCATTCATCTCAGGATATGCAATCAGACGTGGAGTTTAATTCCTGATCCTCCTTCCTGTGGAATCTGGAATTCTCTGACGACGGAATGGTTCTGGAGACAGATGTGCTGCCTTGAGGAAGATGTTAATTTTTTTAATGTTTGTTTTGTTAATTATTCTGGTTAATAGAGAATAATGAAGATGGATTTCCAGATTTAGAAATCCAGAATTCTTAAAATTCCAAAAGTACCATTAGTGGTCTCTGTTGATTTGAAACAATTTTATATGTCATCGCTGTGAGATTTAAATCTCATTTACAAATAGTAACCTCAAATTCCAGCTTTCTCATGAACTGAGACATAGGGAAAACAGAACTTCTATAAGAGCTGTTATACAGCTCTAACACAAGTTATTAAACAGTTAATTAATTAAAGAGAAAAGTGAGCCCCTAACTCTTTAACTAAAGTTCATGACAAGGAATTGATAAACCTCTTATTTATTTCCTGCTGAGCCCAAAGGTTAAACATCATGTTTTATGTTCTCCCGCAACTTTGTGTTTGTTGCTTGTTCCGTTTCCTGGTACATCACTGCAAGCTTCTAGCATCCTAAAGAAACATAGGTGCACAGTGCCTGGCACTTAGTAGATGCTCAGTAAATAATGTCAGCTTCTGAGCATCATCAAAGCAGCCTGTCTTCTGTGGAGCCTGTGGGCTCATCACAGTCCCTGATCCAGGTTTACGTCGTGGGAACTTTTCTCCTTATACCCCATGACATCACTGCCTTTAATATTTAAAATATATATATATATCTCTCAGCAGCTCCATCTCACACCCTTTAAAACTGGATTTCATTAGCTTCTCATTGCCGCACTGGACACCGCAAAGTCTGCTCCTTTCATATATCATCTCAGATTTGAAAAGCACATGAAAATGTTTCTCCATTTTCAATATTGCGTGAGTAATGTTCCCATTGAAAAGTAATGGAGTGGAGTTGTCACTTGTCAGCACAGTTATTAAGGAGGACGAGTCTCAGATCTTTCTCTCATAATAAAATAAATCTGTCAGAAAATCATTGTGCTCACAGTTTCTCATGCCACCAAGCGATGGAGACTTAGCTGTGGTTGCTCCTTCAATGTCCCCAAGTCACTGTGTCCTGGGGTGGCTTCCCTGGGGCCCCCGTTGACACCCTCCTTGCTAGCCGCCCTCCTCCTGGGTGAGCACGCACGTCATTGCCAAGAAAACTGTCAGGAACTCGGCAAACAAAGCCACTCATTTTTCCCCAAAGTACTGATATTTTACCCCCAAAGATATCTTCAACTTTATTTCCCCTTGGTTATTTTCTTTGGTATCTTATCACCAGTTTAACTTTGAATTTGCTCTTTTCTAACTATCCAGAAGCAATAAAAAGGAACATTAATGGCAGCTCGATATGAATTAGGAGTATCCCGTTGAATTGCACAGCTGAGACGTTAATAGAATTTTTAAGATCCTTCAGATGTTAATTAAATATATACATTTATGTCACAGGTTTCCCAAACAAGCAGCGAGGAGTTCTTTTCTCCTCGGCTGGATTTAACTGCAGCTTCGGAATGTGTTTTCCTGTTGGGCGTTACTTTCCTGTATGGTCCATTGGTTTCTCGTAATTGAATTTTGAACTTCTTTACAAAAGAATTAAAAGATGATTTTGCAGTGGAAAAGTGGGAAGGAAAGTTTAGAAAATTCCCTTTAATGTGATGGCTTGGTGGTGATGGACACCCAGCAGTCTGTTCCTGGGATATGTGTGCATGCACAGGGGTACGCACACAGCTTATCCATGTGGGTACACGCACCATTGGTACACATGGGTACACGCATAGCTCATACACGTGGGTACACGCACGGCTCGTACACGGGGGTACACGCACAGCTGGTACACGTGGGTACACGCACAGCTCACCCATGTGGGTACACGCACAGCTGGCACACGGGGGTACACGCACAGCTCACCCATGTGGGCACACACACAGCTGGTACACGTGGGGGCACACACAGCTGGTACACGTGGGGGCATGCACAGCTCGTACACGGGGGTACACGCACAGCTCACCCATGTGGGCACACGCACAGCTGGCACACGGGGGTGCACGCACAGCTCACCCATGTGGGCACACGCACAGCTGGCACACGGGGCACGCACAGCTCATGCAGGGCTTCTTCAGGTGTGTATTTCACAGAAGCTGCGCAGGTGGGTTTCACCTCCGCAATCTGTGAACCGCAGCTCTTCCCCAAAGGCTAACTTTATTTTTGCTTTTCAGTCTCGGAAAGGGAGTGACCCAGACAAAGAGAAGAAAGGCCTGGAGAGTCGAGCGGACAGCATCGGGAGCGGTCGAGCCATCCCAATTAAACAGGTAACGCGGCTTCCCCCCACCCCGCCCGGCCCTGTAGCCGGAGACACACCCTGGGTCTCTCCTCGCAGTGAGGCTGGCTCGCACGCCAAGGTTTGTTTGATGTGCTCCGCTGATGAATGTAGAAGTCACTCACTTGACATCAATTAGAAGAGGTTCCTGTGTGTATTAAAATAGGATCATTAGAATAAGAAGAGGGGAAATGTGACAACAGACCTAATGAAGTGCAGTCTGCCCGCCTGCATATGGAGTGCGTTTCGAGACTGCGCTGGCTTCAAAGGCTGCCTTTGTAGCGCGGCTTTGATTGGGCCGCTGGCCGCCAGGCAACAGGGGTAAATCAGATCCCTGTACAAGAGCCCCTTGTGATCACAGGAATAGCCCGACGTGGCCCTAATTTGCTCTCGCAGACGGACATCTGAACACGGTTGCAGGCTGGTTTGTAACAACGAGGCAATTAGTTGTGATAATCATAGCTGGTGTGTCAGCTGTGCGCTCTTGTTTGTAATTTGCTAATGAAGGAATTGTAACTTTGATTAGGTTCAGTTTCATTTAGACCTTATTATATAAAGGAACATTTACAGCTGTAATGTGGGGCCTTAATTAAACTTCCTCATTACACAACAGGACTCGAACGCAGGCATTTGTTTTGGCCTATGTCGCTAGCCTGGAATCGGTTTTCATTAGCCCAGAAGCCGGGTACCAAATGACTTTATGTCTCAAGGAAAAGGGGAATTCACAAGACCTATTTGGCTGTGATAGTTCCCAGGGAAATGAAATGAAAGTGTTCAGCCTGGCAGCGTGGCTTCTGGAAATGCCGTCTTTTACTTTGCTGAAGAAGGCCGGTTGGTTTCGAGTGTTTTCTGCTTCAGGGAAAGAGGAGTCAGTGGGCAGGATGACACCTCTGCCCCGCAGCTGTAGCTGGACACGAATCCTGTAGGAGCTCGTGTTGGCACTGGCCACCCTTCAGGAGGGCTAGAATCTTTCCGCTTGAAACAGGTAGCCTGTGGCTTCACGTGGGGACCCGGCAGTTTCTGCCTGCAGGTGTGGGCGGGCCCCAGCATCACGGGTGAGACAGAGGCAGAAGTCCACAGGGTTTCACAAGGTGCCTCCGGAGACTGGGGAACTGATGTGTGGGCTGGCGTGGAGAACCCCTAAGAGCAATCTCCTTCCCTCCTCTTTGCTGTGCTCGCTTTTTTTTTAAATTGAAGTATAGTTGATTTACAATGCTGTGTTTAATTTCTGCTGTGCAGCAAAGTGACTTAATTATACGTATATATATATATGTATGTATATATATGTCTGTATGTACACATACACACACATTCACATGTATTTATGGACTGTGTATTTATAGAGCTCCCCAGGTGGTGCTAGTGGTAAAGAACCCATCTGCCAATGCAGGAGCAATAAGAATCTCAGGTTCGATCCCTGAGTCGGAAATGGCAACCCGTTCCAAAGTTCTTGCTCGGAGAATTCCGTAGCCAGAGGAGCCTGCTGGGCTCCAGTCCATGGGGTCGCACAGAGCTGGACACGACTGAAGTGACTGAGCACATGCTATAGTGTGCCCCCTGTCCATGGAATCCCTCCTTTGTCTGTGCAGTTCTCCAGGCAAGAATACTGGAGTAGGTTGCCATTCCCTCCTCCAGGGGATCTTCCCAACCCAGGGATCGACCCCGAGTTGCTTATGTTTCCAACATTGGCAGGTAGGTTCTTTACCACTCGCGCCCCCTGGGAAGCCCCATAAACACACCCCGACACACACATATACATATACATATATTTGTCTGTATTCTTTTCCACCTTGGCTTCTCGCAGGATACTGAACCCAGTTCCCTGCGCTCTATAGCAGGGCCCTGTTGTTTATCCGTCCCGTGGGTAGTAATCTGTATCTGCTAACCCCACACCCCCAACCTTCACCTGCACCCCCTCCCGTCTCCCCCTCGGCACGTCTGTCCTCTGCGTCTGTGAATCTGGTTTTGATTGTTCCTAGAGGTTTTCTCTCCTATAGAGATGCAGGCACGGTTGCTTATTCCTTGTGCCTTTACTTATTGATATAAACTTAACTCTCCACATACAGCAATTTTAATGTGTAATTTTCATTCTGTTGATGCTGTGTCAACTAGAGAATTGGGAAAATCATTGAACTCTTTTCCTGTCATTTAAAATATCCCTCCTGGGACATTTCCTTTCTGGGCTGCTGGAACTCAACACTGGATGGCGTCCCCCGTGGGCTCGGGTGGGCGTGCTGGCTGCCGCCCCGTGTGGGTGGGGCCTCCCTTTTCTCAGTCTGTGCCCTGCTCCTCTGCACAGGCCAAGCTCTTAGTCTGTGTGCTGCTGGAGGCTGACAGTCAAGGGTTATCCTGTCCTGGGAAGGCTTTCAGTTGTCGATGTTCAAAATAATCCAGTTTACCCTTCAGTCGTGGTCTGGTTTCCTGGGGCATCCCGACATAGGTAGCCCAATAGGTAGCCCAGCCAGCTCCCGTCTCTCGTAGCTGCCTCTACGTACAAACATAGGGAACCCACGTCCTGGAGACCACACCTGGCGGGTCAGAGTCCCCTTGAGGCAGAACATGCCCAGCCTCGGAATCCCCATCTGGGAATTGGGCTCCGGATAATACTGAGTCCCTTGGGACGCTGAGATGAGGAGATGCCAGCGAGGATTTTTAGATTCTGGCAAAGCCGGATTTTCAGATTCGTCCTGCTCAGGACACGTTCATAGGAGCCTTGCTGTGGACCGCACAGGCTGATGTGGGTTTGCACACAGATGTACAGATTTATTTGTATTTTTATAAAGGAACAGAGACCCTTAGAGGTAGTTTGGACTCCTCAGCCTGCCAGGGATGACATCAGCTAGTAGAAATGAAGCAAGAGGATTGTGGAGGATGGGGCCCAGTTAGAGCAGCACCTGCCGGAATGTTCTAGACACTGCAGGCCTGAACGATTAAATGATTGCTTAGTATTTGTTAAGCATTCACGTAATATCTCTTTGAACCCTCAACATGGCCACAGTTGACATAACTATGTTGTCTTCATTTTTAATTAAATCTGTGTGGTACAAACTTTCCAGACCAGGCCCTGTGGGAAGCCGAGGGGCCGGGATTCGAGCCTGGCCCGCGGCCCGTGCACCCTATGCTGCCCGTTGGCCAGAAGCCTTCAGAAAGCTTAGGAAGCAGATTCCTGGCAGTCCAGTGGTGAGGGCTCTGCGTTCTCACTGCCGTGGGTGTTTGATCCTCGGTCAAGGAACTAAGATCCCACAAGTGACACGGCACGGCCAAGAAAAAAAAATGCTTAGGAAGCAGAGTTAGATGCTTTGATTTAAACGTGTGCCCCCCAATCTCAGACAAATACCTTGTGCCCGAGGAGAGGAATCTTTTTGAGATATGCCTGCAGCATCGCACGTCTGCAGGGACACAGGTCCTCGCGCCTCTGTGCGGGGTTGCCCAGGGTCCCTGCATCCCTTCTCCATTGCCTGCCCTTCCCACCAGCATCTGAGTCCCTGCCTCCACTCTCAGCCCCTGTTCGGGACTGGGTCTGCGTGTTGGGGCCCCGAACCCCAGCTCACAGGCCCTTTGCAGAGGAATCCTCGTCCTGAACCTCATCCTGGTCCTCTGTGGGGCGGGCCGGGGAGGGGGGAGCTTTGGAACGGGCCAGTATGTTTGATCGTCACAGGCCCTGTCTCCCCCCGCTCCCGACGCACAGGAGTCTTGTCGGGGGCGCTTCAGGACACAGGCGAGGCCGTCTCTCCAACACGCTCGGCAGCCTGACGCATGTCTTTGCAGACGGAGCGTGTTCCAGTGGGTTATTTTAACCGCGTCCGGCTCACGTTTTACAGCTCGCCTGTTGGCTGTGAGACGGAGGCTCTCCTCGGCCCAGCGTGGGAGGAGCTGCCCGCGGACGGTGGGCAGTGATCCTGTCTCCCCTCCTTCCCCCGTGAAAGCTTTCTCATCGAGAATGTGACTTATCTTCTGCAAAATAACTTCCATTTTTTGAGGACCTGGGCCCACCTCTGCGTTCTTTGTCCTTTCTGAAGTCTCAGTGGAGATTTGGTTCAGAGAGATCTGCTTCTCCTCCGTCTGCCTTTCCTTCCTCCTCCTCCTCCGTCTTCCTCCTCTTCCCTGTCTCCTCCTTCTCCTAAGTGATGGCGATCAGGTCTCTTCAGATAGAAATCTAAAAGCAAAAAGCAAGGAAAAGAAAAAGCCAGAGGCCCAGCTCAGCGGCGAGTGGGCTTGTCACGTATTAATTTTTCATTGCTGTGGAGAGTTGTACATACATAATCACTTGATTGCAGTGGGAGTTAGGGAGCTCCTATGGTGTCATTTGCATAAATCTTGTTAAGTCAATGGCAGTTAATGAAGTACAAATGAGCCCGGAGAAGGTGACATGCAAATCGTGGGTGGCAGATGGGAGGTCTGTTTGGGGGACGGCAGCTGTGTGCTCTTTTTTTTTTCCCCTCTCTCCGGAGTTTTTTCATATCTGTATGATGGTCCACATACTCAGCCTGTCCTGTTTCCCTTCCCGACTCCTCCTGCCTCTGATCACCCTGAAAACACAGACCTCAGGGCCTCACCTTGCACCCAGTAACACACACTAGAGGGGGAACATTTGCATTTGTAGAATCTTGGATGCGAGGGTTAGATATCGTCACCGACTCGATGCACATGAATCTTGAAAACTCCAGGAGACAGTGAAGGACCAGGAAACCTGGCATGCTGCAGTCCATGGGGTCGCAAAGAGTGAGACATGACGGAGCAGCTGAACAACAGAATCCTTGGTCAGTTGATCCTGCTCACTCCATTGAAAATACCTGTATGTATCTTTTGTATGTGAGGACAAAAGAGGAAGCAAGTGAACGCCTCACTAAGTGTTGTCTCGTGGGGTTTCAGAGAATGCAAAAGTGAAGAATACTATCTGCTTTATCACACCTCTGTCTGTCTGTCCTTCCCCACCCCCTGCAGACGGACCAGTGGTGTTTATCTGGTCAAGATCCCTCCCAACCCCCAGCC